ATTGTTTTTAAAACGAATGGCTCAGTCCTACGCCCGCTTTGAAGATTAAGTTCAGAGAGATATATACAACCTGGCTATTAAACAGTTCATGGCAACTAGAATGGCCTAGTCATATGCCCAAAGAAGAGAGAAGTAGTTGTGCCCTCTGTTTTGTGTATACTCAATGACTAAGTTAGGCATGTCCCATAAGTTTGGGTGGCCTGACTTTATGCCTTATGTAAGGAGGGTATAAAGGGGCAAATCATTGAAAGACTACGGACTATTGTTTGATAAAGTTGACTTGGGCTAGTGAGAGTACTTACCTTTGTGGTTTGGCCTTGCATATGGCTGGGTGAGGCCTCTACTAAGTCCGAGTTTCAGTTTGACAGGTACTTGCTTTAGTTGCTCGCCACGTGCTAGAGCGATAGGAGTTAGTTGAATTTCTGCATTTTTTTAGCTAACTTTATTTTACTTAGGTCAGTTTCTGCATTTTTTTAGATCATTTGTTATACTTGGCTTTGTATAAATTTTGGTAAGCTACTTTCTCTACGGGAAGCGCTGTCGAAATTTTTGCAAATCCAAAGGGTTAGTCAAAATTTGACTTGTCAAAGTTCAACTTGTCTAAAGTTTATATATGGCTTAGTAAAAATCTGGAAAGTCTCCTTTTCTAAAGGGAGTGCTGCCCAAATTTTTGCTAATTCAGAGAGTTAGACAAAATTGAACTTTGGAAAGTTGAAGGTTATTTCTGTTTTCCTATTCGGGCTAATATAAATTCTGGAGAGGCACTTTTCCTACAGGAAGTGCTGCCGAAATTTTCTTAGTTTTAAGGAGATAGATTATATTTTGACAGGTGGCGGTTCTGGCGATCCGACCTGAGTAGGGGAGATTCTGCCATTAGTCTACCTTTGCTTTGGGCACTAGCTTAGAGGTAGATTTAGGCTTAGTTAAGTTAAACGATTTTGGTGAGATCATGGTGTGGAGATTATTCTCTATTGACTTATAGATCTAGCCTGGGGGTTGGTTTGTCTTGTGTTACAGGTCTTCTTAATCGATTGATTCAGGATTTGGGCTAGATTCAGCTCGATCCTACGAGGATCATCTTCTGTTATCATTGATAACAGGTCGATTGCCGATTCGTCGGTTTACGATTTAACTCCAATCCACTCTTGCCACTCAACCTAAAGGCTTTAGCCCTGTGGTTTGAAATGTTTCATTGTGTTTTTACCCGGACTTTATTGAATGGTCATTTAACAAAGGTACTGAGTATTTTATTGTTGAAAGGGTGTGCTAAGGTTGAGGTTTGTGTGGCTAAAGCAAGGGGTGTAAGTGCAGAGAATGATTGAAATTGACCCCGTGTAGTGCATGGACTTTTGGTGGGATCTTTGATGTGATTGCAGGTATGTTCGGTGATTCGGGCTTTGGACTTGATTGCCTGCACTCACATACATATATATGGCTGGGATGAGTCTCACTGTGACTCTGAGAAAAGATTGTCCTATATTAATAACCCTTAATTATATATACATATATATATCGTCAAATAGATATATATGTTTATGGCTTGGGTGTTTTCACGCGGCCTACTGTGACCGTGCGTAAGGGGTTAAACAAATTATGTTTTTGAGAGAAAAGGGAGATCCCCTTTTATCCTTTTGCTTTTTAGAATTTTACAGTTGGACGTTGTAGTCCGTAGCAGTCGTCAAAGTCAAACCCCTTGAGTTTTTCACAGGCCCTAGGTGAAGGAGCTGGTTTCCAGGGCCATAAGAGACGATTGCCACCACAGGTATGAACCTGTGTACCACCCACTCTCCGCAGGGTGCAGAAGAGGGTGTGGTTCTCAACCGCACTTGGCGGTTGTCCAACGTCGAGAGATTAACCCTCAAGGCGCGTATCAGCCGACACTTGAGTGTCGAATGCGACCCTCGAGATTAACGAGGACCGCATGAGTATGGGTACTACATAGTATGCCATCACTGCGACCGCTTGCGTACGCTTGCATTGCGAGTCGATATGAGTTAGCCCTGCGTCCGCGCGATTTTATACTAAGCCTCGCACACGACGCCTATCCGGTTTCCGCATCAGAGAGTTATGGGATGGTTACTAAGGGACTAGGAGTGTTGTCGCGTTGTTTATTCACTGTCATTCCGTATATGTATATGTACGTGCGTATGTGTGTGTGTTTTTATTTTTATGTCCTTTATAGTGGTGTGCGCGTGGAGTGTGGGATGCGTCCTAGTCGACCGGCGACGAGTCGCGGCTTGAGACCTCAGCCCCCTAAGGTGCCAGTTCGCGTGCGGGTTTGATAGAGGTGTAATACCGCACGTACCCCCTATGCTACAACGTACGAGAAACGACCTCGACTGGTCCACCTCTGCAATTGCAGCTGATTAACTTTCGTACTGTGGACTGGTAGCTCGACGGGGATACGCCCACCGAAGGGAGGTGACAGCTCCCGTAAGGTGGAGGTAAGTCAAGCCTCGCGTAGGCCCTATCCTGTCATAGGGGCTCGTGAGACGTATGGCTGGTGCACTTGGCCGGAGCGGCTTGTGGAACCTCCATGTATTTTTCGCGGAAGGTGTAAACCAACTCCTGCATGACGCGGCCGGGAGGGTCCCGCGCTGCCCCGTGCGGTGCCGGACCGATGCGCTCAACAAGGGGGCGGGGGTGGGGGTGTGGGGGGGGTTGGAGGACGGCAGGGAGGGTATGATGTTGTTATGAACATAATTGCCCGTTGAAATTTTATTAACGCTCACTCACAGGAACTCCCGTACACGCCCATACATGCAAAGGAGGATGGGGAGAGGTAGTGGAATTTCACACCGCCCAACAAAAAGAACGCAGCGGAAGACTCAGAGGAGCGAAGTGACAGAACACACAAACTGTGGATTCTCTCCACACAGGTCCCAACAATCATTCATAGAAGACAACCGAGTGATCACAGACAGAAAGAGATGACAACTCAAACACAGTAATACAACTATTTATTAAAACTCATAGCATCGTTTTCCCTGGATAACCTCAGAACCCTGCTGCGCTACCCTTAGAGAGGTAGCGACTCAACCTCACACACACCGAGTAGCTAAAAATAGCACCAGAACCCTAGGCGACACCCAGCGCCACCCTGACATCCAACTCAGTGGCCTGCGCCAAGGTGAAACAGGCTCTTAGAGCCAATCGCCATTCAGATGATGAGGAAGAAGCTCAGCGCCAATTGTCCCTGATGAAGATGAAGTCCAGACGATGGTATCCTCTGAGAAGATGCAGCTATGGCTGCATCGCCACTGGGACCCTACTCCTGAGGAGGGTCAACAGTGCACCACGTGCTCCAACCCATCAGACCTCTGATAGCCCAGACCGCTTTGACTCCCAGAGAGTCAGAGCAGACAGCGTTGACCCCAGTTTGGTCAGCGCTCCGAAGGTCAAGCTATGTCCGCCGTCTCCCACACCGGAATCAGCAACCACGACCTGATACCATGTGCGCAACAACTTCCACCACGAAGTGTCAACTGCCAAAAGCCCAGGACCGATGTCCCCATCCTATCTATACCCTAAACTAGACTAGACACGACCTAGACCGGACTGACTGACCGACCGGCACCGTTTCCGTCTCGGTCTCTACGGCCTCTCCCTACCCGGCTATAGGCTATAGGACCGTCTATCAGCGTAGGCCCATTGTGCCTGTCTGTCCTAAGGGTAGCCCAGGTCTGCTATTCGCAGTAAGGGTAGTTGTAGGAAATTCAAGTTAGTACCGGGCCCATATTTCCTATATTTACAAATATGCCCCTCACGAATTTTCCGTACAGGTAGCTCTCTCGGTTAGCCCTCAGCCAAACAAAATTACGAACCTATCCCTACCTAGGATACAGCCTCGTCAGAAAGAGGCTACACGCAACCTGGAACCAGCAAGTCATTGCAATGTGACCCTGTGCCTGCTGCAGCAACCGATGGTTGGACGGGGTAGTGGCGGGGTGG